ATGTATGATCACCATGGTTCAGTTTCATTAACAGATGGAAAGTCTGAGCAGTCAAAGGTTTGGATCTGTTGTCTKTTCTTTTCTTATTCACACTTTCCCCTCTCTTTTTGTTCTTAAGTTGTGTAATGTTCCAGGGGCAGATTAAGTGAAGTGTAATCTCCCAACCCCCGATCCTCCCAGTATTTTGGGGTGGTTGAACCTAGAGTCCATTCTAAGACTATTTCGTGTGCTTCTGCCCCACTTTCTTTGTCTGCTCCTGTATCCATGTATCCCTGAAGATGTTTTGCAGTGCAGTGTCAATCAAAATGTTTGTCAGTTGTAAGGCATGTTTGGTTAGAGTATACGTAGTGGTTGTAGAGCATACTGCTAAAGAAGTGAATTAGACTGACGTTTTTCTTCATTATATTATTGAATAGCAACAAGAACAAGCCCTCAAGGATGTAGAAAAAGTGCTTGGGTCATACCAGAAGACAGGCAAAGTACCAGGAACAGTTATGGAAGCAAGGTAAGCCAATACCAACATCAATAAATGAATTAATAATAAATGAGATTTAACAGTGTAGTTCCACAGAGTGGCTCTTCTTCAACTGGATTCCTCTTGAAATTTAGGCATAGAAAAATACGGAGAACTTGAAGCACAGGAGAAAGCAATTAGCAACTCTGTTCACATACAACGCCAAGTCTAGTAATAGAACCCGGGTCACTTTGCTTGGTAAGAGGAGAGCTCTCTCACTAACTATGCCACCCATGTGCTTCCCATATTTTCGGATGACAATCACTTTTCCATGCAATAGAGAAACTCCAACTGACTGTATTCAGCAAAGAAATAATAAATGTTCTTTCTAATTATGTGTAGGTGGTGGTGTTGGTTTGATTTGGTCACAATCTTCCAAAATATCACAGCTTTATCATCTTATAATTTGTTTTTTATTTTGCTTTTAGCATCTTCAGAAAGCCTTACTTCGTTGGTTACTTTCTTCCTGCTCTTCTAACCCCAAGGAAGGTATGTACGGCATAGATTTAGTAACAAGAAAATGGATATTTTAGTACTGTAATGGTTTCTTGATTACAGACCTAAGCCCTTTTTTTTCATTCATTAGATACTTCGGCGATCCTTTACTGCAGAGTTCATTCAGGGACTTATTTTCCCAAAGGGGGAGGGACTAAATGTTTACGTTTTATTTTTACAAAAGAACAAAAATTAAAATTAATGTATTAATTCTAAAAAGCTGCCATTTTGTTGCTATGAAGGGGGGAGGGGGGGGGGCTGGAGATCTTGGCCTCCCTGCCTACGACCGTGTCATTTGTATAGGTTGAGCCTTGTTTAACAGCAAATCATTGGCAAGGAAAACTGTATTATAATTAGCCTAAATCTACTAGCGATCTATCTCAAATTTTGTCCTCTAATTGGCTGAGCTACTAATGCTGGTTGCTAACTAGTGTTTTTAACCTAATTTCAAAATKGTTYTTATCCATTTAATTGACCCATAAATTAGTAGTTTTAGATTAAGACATTTAGACCTCTTGTCTTCATGGTGTACAAGTCAGTAGCGCATCCAGCTTTTAGCAGTAGTGAACTTATAAATGAGGCTTAGTCTATAGTTATCAAATAAGTGGTATGCACTAATGAAAAAAAAGGAGTATTGTATTTAACAAAGTAACTCTTCTCTTTTGTTTGTAGCTGCCAGATACTCCTGATACAACAGCAAAGCTGATAAAAACTCTCAGCAAGTAAGTTCTTGCTTCTGTTTTGTTAGAGYATTTCTTACATTTTTATTCACATCCAACGTTGATGGGTTGCAAGGCTACAAAAAAACGAAGATATCCAAAATAGTGCCAAATAGTAATGTTTATCTAGTATACTTTATCAGGAATAATAAAGTTTARAAATGTAAATTGTTTTGTCAAGCTMATCTTTCTTGGGRAAAAATCCAATTTCCAGTTTGTTCTAGAGTGCCTGACTAGCGAACAGAAGGTCATGCCTGAATCCTGCCTCTGGTAAAAATTAGCTTGACCAAGCTCAAACACATCTAATAGTAATAAAACATGTTTATGTTAATTTGATTGTGCAATTTTTCGAAGCCTGCTTGCTGATTCTTATTCCAAAACTTCTACTCTTACCCATCACATTTTATGGACTTTGGATAAGTTTGAAAACCCTCAAAACTGATAAAGTTATTTCAAGGCTGCCAAGTTCAAGGCTGGACCAATGCAGTGTTTTAGCTTGAAAAGAGGATTCAATTCCTAAGGGAACGATCTTGGATTATTTCACATATTTTACATTGTTCACTCAAAATAAGGGTAAGCTTGTTTTGCCTTGTGAATTTTGATTTTGTTTTTAATGCATCATAGGGCTAGTAAAATACCACCWAACATGCTTGATGCCTATCAAAAAGCTTGTGAGAAAATGGCTTTTGATCATGA